TATCCCCGCAATGTGAATATTTCTTGATATAATTTTATATATTGTAATTTAGATAGTCTTCATACGAAAAGCTTGCATTACACTCGAATCATTTACCCTACTGGGCCTGTACACTGCAATACTGCAGCTCCAGAAGGAGAAGAATAGGGGGGGGAGGACTTCAGCAAGGCCAGTGTTGAAAGCAGCACAAGCAGTATCTGAGTAGGGCAGCCAGAGCTGCAATCCCAGTGAAACATCCGCAGAACACCCCCTCCCTCACAACGCCCGGCGGCGTCGGCACTCCGAACAGGGGGGAAGGCACCAGGTACTGCTGGTACGAAGCGGGGGCGCCAGAATGAGCCGCCGACGTCAAGATGGACGTGAGGTCCAGCGGCGGCGCCACGCCAGGAGCTCGGAGCGCCTCGGTCGTGCGAGCTGCGGGGTCGAGCTCCGCCCACGGCAGCAGCAGCGGAGCGGTGGGCTGCCTGGCCGAGCAAGAGCAGCGGTGGCCGGAGTTCGGGCCTTGCTGAGTCGCGTTGGCCGGCCGTCGTCTCTTCTTCAGCATGGACCAGATCTTAAGCTTCTTCAGAGATCTTATCATCTGTACAAGCTCTGGTGGGAGACTTGGAAAGAAATGGCTCGAGAACAGAAGATATAGAGACGATTCAAAGCTAGAAATGCTTCCCACATGGCGTTTCCAAAGCAAAGGGAACGTTGCGTTGCAGACCGTTGGCTTTTGTCTCCCTCACATGGTCGGACACTGTGGCTTCTGACTTGGCCGTGAAAGGGAAATGAGGCTGACTGACCAAAAGCCACCGTTTGCCGTGTCATCATGTCACCTTTCATGTTCTAAGAAGCAAGCAGAAACTTTTCGTAATAATTATATTTTTCCTTGCATTCACTTTGTGCATTTTAACTATAAGTTTTCTCTTTTAGCCAATGACACCCCCGTAATTAGATTTTTACTTAGGCATCCAATTTTTTTAAAATAATAATAATAAATGGGCAAAAAGGTAAATCATAAATTATATTGATTAAGCATAACCCTAGTGTATAAGGTGGTGACGAGATCCTCTCTTCGACGATTTATACATTATAACGATGTTCTTCGATGGTGAGTTCTCCTCGACATTACGAGATATTTCTTTTCTCGATAATTTATATTCGACAAAAATACTCCTTGACGAAGAATTTTTCTTAAGAAGTAACTATGTTCTCTTCCTTCGTGATGGCGGCTACATACCGTTCACAATGACTATGATGACAATAATTCTCGATGGTTGCTTCCCTTCCTCAATGCCGTGAGCATCTCATCGTTTATGATTCATCAAAGGAGACCAAGTTGAAACAATTTGATGTTTCCGTTGTTAACAATCAGGATAGGAGGTTGATTACATTCTCCTATATATATATATATATATATATATATATATATATATGGGCATTTTACCAAATGAAACAAGGGAGATCAATTGATAATAGTTTACCTAAAGTCATCTTTTTTTGTTAGCTAATAAATAGTTTTCTAATTATTTGTTCCTTATTAAAATTTGTAATGCTTAATTAATTTATAGTGAGTACCATTAAATTATATTAAGAAACTTACTATATGATTTTGATTTCCTATAATGAAAATATTATTTTACTCTTGTCCTATTGATAATATTTCTTTTGTATATAAATAGAATGATTTTGTGTAGATCCCTTTGACTCCAAGGTGATAAAATAAATACAGATGAGAATTACAATACGTAATATATTTGATTACTCAATGATATATAGTAAGCATTATTATGTTATTTGTAACTAATTTATTATATTTTTTTGCTAAATGTGAAGTCACTGATACCTTTATCATCTCTCCTTCGGATCATCACCCATCACCTCATATACCCAATAATATATAGTACATTGATTATTTTAGGATTTTTTTTCTGCACAAGTGGTAGGAGTATAGGTCATATGATCTTTGTCGTCTAGGTGGTGTTATGTAAACGTGTTTAAGATGACTTCATTTGGTCATATAGCACATATTTTTAATATTTAGACATATCAATATTTTTTTTTTTAGTATCATCGAATATTAGATGAAGGGCTACATTTTTATATCCAATGTCCTAACTTTAACCCCACCAATGTTACTTTGATTTTTTTATGTTTTTAACCATAGATAAGTAATCAATATTAAAGCTATTGGAAAATCTGGCAGCGAAAAAATAGAAGAAAATAAAATATCAGATTTCTCAAAGAAAAAAATTATTATTATCATACGTAGATTGGTGTGTAAAACAAAATGCAAAACCAAAACCGCATGAATCATATGAGATTTATTACATAAAGAGATCATATATCTTTGAAAAATCTTAGATTTGTACGAGTAGATGACGGATATCTCATATTCGAATCTCTACTTATCGTCATATGTGTGTGGCCCTCTCAGCCCAATGATAAAATTCACTCTATACACAATGATTTCGACACTTATACATAATTATAATCTCTAACCAAAAGAAAAAAAAATTATACACATATAAATGCTACGTAGGTCCTCGTCTATAATTGCACTAGAATAGGCTTGCACATGCTCACTTCTCTACCTAATCACTTGGATATACTTCTCTACCTAATCACTTGGATATGATACCTAATATATTTACTTATAAAATAAAATCTATAATAAGTAATCACTCAATAAACATAAAACTATAAACTTTATAATTTTATTTAGATGAGCATATATCATGTAATATATACAATACTTTTAAATTATCGACAAACATTTAACAGTAAACACTTCACCATATAACTTTTTTTTAGTAAGCATAATTCTACAAGATAACATATGTAAAATTAAAAAGATAATTTTTTATATTAAAATAATTCAAAATACTTATATCTAACACCTCACACTTCATCTGATGATATGATTTGATGATGCAACGACGCATTTGTCGATACAACCGAGGGTTCAACAGAATAGTTTGGCAACAAGAACGACACCCATAGACGCTTTGACAATGCAGTGGCGAAGCATTCCACAAACGCTTCGCGAATGCAATGGTGATGCAGCCTTGCATGTTATGAATGCAACGAAGGATTAGCTAATACAGTTGAGGCTTCATCAATGCTGCTAAAAGAAAATTTGAGTTAACAATAATCTAAATGAGATCGGGCCGATTCAACAACAAAAAAAAAACCTATAAATTACTTTTTAGAAAAACACCATAAGTAAAAATGAATTAGGGGATCATCATCCACTAAAAACTGAATAACAGAGACTTTTTCGATAAATTATCCATTCACTTTTCCTTAGTGGACGCTGGTGATTTACATCTTTGGATTTTGACATAAAACAATAAATTAACATAGACATAACTACAGAAAAGAATTTAGCTGCTTTATGGAAGAACTTTTATGATGTACAATGTAGATAATTTTCACCGGTGGCTTTGCCAGCAGTTCACAATGATCATAGCAAGAAAATATTACCAGCCCAAGCAGACATATCTTGAAAAACTTGGATAAGCAACGTTGGTTCTTTAGGAGTAATGTGGCTAAATTAAGATATAAGCAAAACTCTTTCTTGTCAAAATAGACCATGAGATCTCTCATGTGACCTTTTTCTGAATTTACCAGGAATCAGTGTCATGTACAAGCTGTAGCATTAAAATTCATGTGGTATGTTGACATCCTGGGGAAACATCTCACAGGCAACATGCGATAACAAACTAGAATTACATGAAATGCAATAAGTCTTGAAAGGCAAAGAAGTTTGAGAGCATAACTAATTATATAAAGACCTCAAAGTCACCTTCTTGAACAAAAAGGACAGTTATAAGTAGATCATAACATTTATGCTGCCGCTGTGATAAATAGACCAAGACAGAGTCCAATATGGATTGATCATACACCTTAACTGGGATAAAAGATACAGATTCAAAGAGAAGACACACACCTTAACTGGAATAAAAGATAGACAAAATGGCCATATCAATATGGATTGATCAAATTATGGAAGTAAAGTTGTCATGAGTTCAGAGTTAAATTTTGAAGTTATCTAAATATGACCTAATAGAAAAATGTGACTACTTGATCAGTATTCTAAGCAACATGGCAGTACTGGAAGAGTAACATAAAACCAAGGAAGACTAGTTCAATTTCTCTGCCTACAATTGATATAAAAGTATGCTTGTTTCATATCTACTCATGTGTTATAATGTACTTAGCCACTGTAAGTAATCCATACAAATCTGTTTAGTGAAAGAAGTGTTTGCAAATGTAGCCATCGATATACTGTTGGTTTTATGATGCAATGTTATTTGAGAGGAAATAACTGATGCTACCTCTACAGAATATCCACAACTGATAACAGGCTACAGCATGTCATCCGTCTATAAGCTGGAGTACAAGTATAGAAATGCCCATGCAAGCCGTGCAAAATAAAAAAAGGAACACTATAAATGCCTCCAATATCCCTACAGGTTTTATATTGACTACAAGTGTTTATATTGGCATTTGAGATTCAGACAATACAGAAGTTCCAATTTTCATTCACTGAGTTCTTTCATGGAGATAATTGATGCAACATATAAAAGATGCTTAGGTTTACAACTCTTCTTCTGAGCCTCTTTGCCCATTAAAGACCTTTAGATTGCCACACTTCTATATAAAAATCGACTCTTTCAGGGAGATGACTGATGCAACTTATTTAAGGCTTCTTAAAGCTTCAAACTTTTCTTGGACAATGCATCTTCACCAGTGCATCACTTTTCTTTTGTAGGCATACTGTATCAATTTACTGTAATAAATGCCAATATTTAATCATCATATGATATATTGTGTCAAGCTTTTTATTTCACAACTTTCTAATCTTGACACTAACTTATCTATAAAGTTCCTAATGCTGTATTTATTTTCCAGCCATCTGATAACTTCTTCATTTTGTCCTCTCTTCAAATTATTCTCTATTTTAAGTTTATCATTCATACACAACCAAATGTTGTGAAGAGGGTGGTGTAGAGATAGAGAATAATGCAACATATCCAGTGGATGTTTCATACTGATTTAAACACACTTAAAGCCTAACATATCATAATATCTATTCCATATTGTCTACGAAGCATAGGCAATTGTCTTTACCAACAACTCATAACTATTAGAAAGAATTTATAAAGGAACTACAATAAACAGCAAAAGCCATTTAGTTACTTTGGGTGGAAATTTATTATAGATGATATTAAAACAACATGTAGACCACTGAACAATAAGAGCAGAGAACTTATTATATAGTTATGTTACAAAAGGTGATGTCTTTCTAATTTCTAGCACTTTTCCCAAAAGCTGACTGCTCTTTCATTTGCAATCATTTGCCAAATCCATATCAACCTGCCGAGTTGGGTTGTGCAGAAGAAAATAGGAGATTCTCCATGCCAAGTCATGCATTCCCATTGCCAGTAAATCATTCAGTGTGCTGCATCAAAATGACAAGAACCGCAGTTAGTACCTGGGTGACCCAGAGAAGAAAAGGAGTTAGACCACAGGTACATGCAACCAGACTTTTAGGAGTTCATGGACTGTTGCTTCTGAGTGAGGTAGTTAACAGTCTCATAGAGCCAGGAAGGTGCAAAGTACCAAACATCTAATATAGCATGAATAGCAAGATGAGAAACATAATGGTTGCAGACAATGTTGAGTTCAGTAATAATTAACATAATATAGTAATTAATTAAGTCGAATTGAATGGTAATATTACCTCACTGCTCGGTAAATTTTCTTATTCTTCCTCCTCGGAAACAACAAGTTTACCTTCTGTAAATTCACAAGGTTGGATTCCTACACCTAGATGCCTCCTCAATTTTTTCACAACAAAAACCTCAGGTTCTTCACAAATAGTGACCACATTACCCTTGCGACCAAGGCGTCCAGTCCGACCTGCCCTATGAGCATAATGAATAGAGTCTGTTGGCAAATCCAGATTGACCACGAGGTCACATTCAGGCACATCTAGTCCCCTAGCAGACAACTCATTCGTCACCAGAACTCTGAGTTCACCTTCCTTGAATTTCTTCAAAGTTGTTGCTCTAGCAAGCTTGCTAAGATCGCCGTGTAGTTCTTCCGCTTTGATGCCACGAGCCTCCAGCTTAAAAACAACATCCTTTAATGGCTTGGTATTGTTCATGAACACAATCACAGTTTGTGCGTCCAGTGCATGGACACATCTCCTTAATGTGTCAACTTTGTGTTGTATTTTAGAAACACAATAGTAATGTTTCAAGGATGGGGGCAAGCTTTCAGTTGCCCCTTGAGTTACTGAGCTAGTGGTAGAAGTCGTCTCGGAATCGGATGCTAAAACACCAGGACCTGGAGCAGGCAGTGAATCAAGAGGTACCACACTCTTGGCCCTGACAAGTAGAGGATCTCGTCCCCAGTTCCTAGCTGCCCGCACAACCGAAAATGGTATGGTTGCAGAAACCAAGATTGTCTGACGATCAGTTCGCCTAGCAAGCGGCCCCATTATTCCACTGGGTTTAGTTCCTGACCTTCTTCCCACATGCTCCAGAATTCTATGCATATCTTCACGGTAATTGAAAGACAACAGCTGGTCCACTTCATCCAAAACCAAAAACTGGCATCCATGAGTGTGTAGCTTCCCAGCTGCTGAAATCTCAGCGATACGGCCAGGCGTACCAACTACGATAATCGGCTTGTTCTTCTTTAGCGCCTCCTCCTGTCGTGACCGATTTGCGCCCCCAACAAGCTGCTGAACGAGCTTCTTATCCGCAGGACCAAGCAACCTCTCCACCTCCCTCACTATTTGCATGCCTAACTCCCTCGAGGGGGCAACGATAACAGCATCGATTCCCGGTTTCTGTTCAGGCGTCATTCCATCATCGGACACCCTCTTCAACGGGCCTACTTCGGAGAGTATGGGGAGAAGGTAAGCCAATGTCTTGCCAGAGCCTGTGTACGACTGAACGACAACATCGTGCTTCTGCGCGATGGTAGGGATGGCAACAGACTGGACGTCGGTCGGAACGGTCAGGCCGGCCTCATTTAGCCGATCGATCAGCCGCGGCGACAGGCCAAGCTCGGCGAAGGACTTGGCCGAGAACAAAGACTCGTCAATCTGAAGCTTTGCCTTTCTGAGTTTGATCGGCTTGTCCCTCGCCGGAGAGACCTTCGTAGCGGCAGGTTTCAGCGTTCCAATATCAACAAAGCTTCGATCTTTCTTCCTTCCCGGCTCGATTTGAGGTTTGAAACCAAGGCTTGAGAGGGAGAGGGAAGAGTCCGGGGCTTCGGCGCGGTTCTTGGGGTGGGCCGCTTTATGGAACCCCGTGGTGCGGAGCGCAGATAGACACCTCAACGCAAAGCGGCCGCCGAGGAGGGAGCGAGAAGACGCCAATGCAAGCACGCCGCTGTGACTTTGCCCGATGATGAGCTCCATTTGAGCCCTCCAACAGAGGAGCAGATACAGAGCGGGGAAATGGTGGCAGCAGCTTCCCGCGTGTGGAGATTGGGGCGTTAGGGTTTTAGGATAAGAGAAACCTGAAGATGGTTCCAAGGAGCGGCGGTGAGATGGGACGAGATGACGTCAGCTTAAATGAGCCCAAACTGTTGAGAGAAAGAGACAACTATGCTTTGCACTAAAGCCCAAATTTTTGACCCATTTTATCAAACATGTAGTGGGCCTCTTAGGAAATGATAAACAATCTTCTCACTTTCCTCTTCTTTTTTCTTAGTTATTTATTAGAGACAAGTGATGAGGCCCATTAGAGGACAGATTAGATTATGGCATTTAATCTTCTTATAGATCCACATGAATCTCCTCCATCAACAAGTAAATAAATGTGTATGATGATGGAATCATTGCATCCATCAGGAATGGAGTATTTGAGACATTATTAGGTGGACCATAGGGGAAACATTTGGACAAAATCATCAAAATCTTCATAGATTTCTTTTTTTTTCTAAAAAAAATATTTGATTTAAATATTTAATAGTCAATTTGGTACTATATTTGACGGTTAATCAGAATTATTGCATCCATCAACAACGGACCATTTGAGACATATATTAGATATGAGTGGGGTAATATTTGAATAAAATCATCAAAATCTTCATAGATTTCTTTATTTTTTTCTAAAATAAAAATATTAAATTTTAAAAATGATAGTTATAATTGAAAATAGCTTATTAGAAGCTGATCTAATGTGACTAGATTTGATAGGTAATCAAAGCTACCGAGAGTTTCGACACATGCCATCACGGTTTATCACGAGGATCGACTATATCAAGGCTAATTACATATTATGCTATGTACTTAGACCTCTTTAGTATCCTGATGTTTAGACTTCAAAATTTATATTGAAATCCCTATAATTATAAAAGTAAAATATTTAACCTCATTTATCCAAACGTTATTGGTTTTACCGACGAAAAATACAGTAATAGCAAATGCATGAATAATATAAAAACAATGAGCAAAAAGATAATTTCAATAGTGGTGAGTGGTAAGCTAATTATAAATTATCCTTTGGAGTTAGACTTCTTTAATATTTTGATTCCTATACTTAAAAAAATTATATTAAAATTTATATAGTTATAAAAATAAAATATTTAACCTCATTTACTATAATATCGTTAACTTTACTGACTAACACGTGCATTAAAAAATATATAGTTATAAAAATAAAATATTTAACCTCATTTACCCTAATGTCATTGGCTTTACCGACAGAAGATACAATACGTACGTGATAGCATGTGCATGAATAATACAAAAATGATAGGCAAAAAAGTAATTTTAATAATGATAGTAGATGGTGACGTCGTACGAGACTATTGTGGTGGTGGTCTGCTAATCATAGGTGTCCTGCAAGCCAATCAAATGAGTGATGACACGTATGACATGATACACATTTTTTTTGTTTATTTATATTATTTGACATTTTATCTCTTTATATTGCTTGTTGCATGAATATATATTATAATGTTCGTGGATGTGTGTAATGGGAATTGGATCTTGATGAGATCATGATAATGAGATCGATTCGCCTTTAAACACAAAACCTAAATAATCCCGGTCATAGGTTACTCGAAAGGGAGATCGAGACCACCGGACATACTAGTATACTATATACTCATTCATATGATGGAGGCAACTGGTCTCATAGCTGCTCATGTGGGGACACTAGGGATACAGTGCATATGCTCATTAGAGAATAAGTTCACTAATTGATTCGCTCATCGAATGCTAGATGGTTGATGTTACCTTATTGTCATACAACGATTTCATAATCCCAATGGTGTATCTGGTCTTTAAACTTGAGGCACCAAAGATGTCATGTATGAGTACTCCACTTTTTGATACTAGACTTATATATTTGGAAGTTCCAAATATAACACAGTCGGTCATCGAGAATGGTAGTCAACCTTATGAGATCTATTAAGTATCGATAGAGGATCATTTGTTCTCGGTGTTATGGGAGGAATATCCTATATGTTCTTGCTCAGATAAATCCATAGCCATGGTAGTTCGGATTAAGAGAGAAATAGTTCTATGGGAGAATCCGATTAGAGTAAGACTCGGATAGAAACCATATGGGCCTGTTAGCACCATGCTCGATATACGGTCTTTAGGATATTAGATGATGAGGGACTATAAATACATAATAATCGAGGGTAAACAAGTCCAATGGATTGGATTCTCCTGTATTGTTTAGGGACTACGACGTAGTGGCCTAGTACATCTGCAATCGATAAGTCGAGTGAATTATTATGAAAATAATAATTTATTGAGTCAGAAAGAGTCCTGATAGGTATGACTCACGACTAACTCGATATTGGGCCTAGAGGGTCACACGCATATGGTAGGTGTTACGATGAGTAGATATTCAAATATGAGATATTCATTGAAGCCCCTATCATATTGGATATCTAATAAGCCTCTAGATTATTGGATCTTATGGATGAGATCTAATAAGAGCCAATAAGAGATTTTTGAGTAGAGACCCACTAATCTAAGATGTTTGGATAGTTGAATAAAGATCCAGTACCCAATATGATATGATTCATTAGGGTTAAGTTGACAAGGAGCTTCTATAAATAGGAGGAAACCGAAGGGCCATGAGCTAGGTTCTTTTTGGCTGCCTGCTCCTATTCTCCTATCTCCCTCTCCTCCTTATACTAGAGCCCCTATTTGGGGCGTGTGGACAGCAAGAAGGGGTAGCCCCTTCTTGATTGCATGGTGCGCGCGAGGAAGAGATTTGGGTAGCGATTTGAGGAGTGTCTTTGCAGCCCCTGTCATGTGGATCACCGCTAAAGAGGAGGACAATTGACATCATTTATCCTCTCCCATAGATTTATAGGTTTTGAGGGATAGACGTTCTCCCTATATAACACATCTTTCTTGTATGCATAGTTATTTGACTTTGTAGGTTTTTACGCACTAATCTTTGCACGACAATGAAACCTTATTTTTCTACAAGAATTTTGGGATTTTATTTTTTATTCTTTCGCTGCACATGTGATGTCGCCCCAAATTTCCTAACATGATCAGTAACAACGACATGGCGGTCAGTCTTGTCGATATCAATCTGAACATTGATTATGAGAAGAAAGAGGAGTCAAAGTGATGATACATGTCCATCGATATTGGAGGAGGAAGAGAAGAGAGGTTAGGCATTTGCATCGACATCACACCGCTTTGCCTCCTCTATTATCACTCTACATTTGCATTGGCGCCAGAGGAGGAAGAGGAGGTAGGTGAGACATCTATGTTAGTGACGATAATGAGGGAAGAGGCAAGTGAGGCAGAGTAGTGCGATGTCATTCATACATATGCTGTTACGTGCTATATCTTCCATCAATAAAGCTCACGACATTAGAGTAAATATGATTAAATGTTTTACTTTTATAACTATAGGAATTTGAATGTAAATTTTTTAAGTCTAAATATCAAGACGCTAAAGAGGTCTAACAATATGAAATAATCTATATTAGCCTACCACCATCGTTGAAATTATTTTTTTATATATCGTTTTTGTGTCATTTATATATATGTTGTCACGTGGTATATCTTCTGTTAATAAAACCAATGACGTTAGGGTAAATAAGATTAAATATTTTATATTTATAGCCATAGAGATCTTAATATAATTTTTTTAAAATCTAGGGACTAAGATAGGATGTCTAACTCCATACGATAATATGTAATTAGCTAGCTATGGCATAATGATAGTATCTAGGTTTACCTAGTCAACATGACAATCATGTGATATAGTCTATTCATGTCCAATCATTATGAGATATTCCTTATTGATACACCAGCTTAGCTTATGACTATTAAAAGAAAAACCTGCCATAGTATATGTATTCGCGTTTAAACACTCACAATTACATTCATCATTCGAACTCATTACGGGCATTCTCAAACATGATATAATTTGACATGATCCTTTAGCTCATGCTGATCTATCGTCATTAAGATAGGACGAGAAGGAATAATCAACTCAACCATCTCAAGAGGCATTTGGTTTTCGGACATAATAGCATTTGAAAACGGGTTAGGTCGATCAACTTTATCGTGTTGACACTAAGATGTTGCCGCTTTCTATTCGATGAAATGTTGCTTGCAGTTCCATAACTTGATGCTTCAAAGTAACTTGAGTTCTCGAGCGCAGCATGACTTCCTCACCCGCTGCATCATATCTCTGCTGATTGGATTGGATGTCGTCTTTATTACGAGCACATATATAAGAGAACAGTAATGGTGAAAAGCCAATGAGACGCATTTCCGACAACGAGTTAACAGAGAACCAACCTTCCATGGGCCAAACAAGGATCAGCTTGCCTTCTAAGGTTCTCAGGCAAGCAAACCACATGTTGTTGCCTGATCGCCATGATTCGGGGTGGCAAGTTGGCCACTCCACCTCGCTCTCCCCATCAGATGCGTTGTGCAGGTCGATACCCCCCGGGGTGTAGTGGCTTAGAGGGCTTCCCTTTTGGTGCTGTGGTGTCCGCTTCACGTACATGGGAAGGCAGTGATGCAGCACACCCTTGCATTATTGCCTCGTGGCATGGGGTCACTCATGCCGAGACCCTGTGTCAGCTTAGCCCACTTTTCCTCCTCCCCTCCCTTTTTCTTCTGAATCTTCTTCTTCTTCCTCCCACCTCCTTCCCTTTTCAATTATGCAACTCATATGCTCACACATGGATGGGGCAGCTTCTTGTGCTCCCTCCTCCACTGTTCCCTGCCCTGTCACTGTTTGCTTTTATTCCATCGAGTTCGAGAACCATTTCCATGTGTTACAGAAAAAGGCATGTGGCAAGCTGACGTATTTGGCTATATTGTCTGATGCAGTCTTCTTCGTCAGGCCTGGACCTGGTCCAAAGTCTACTACGACCACAATACTTTTCTTGGTAGAACACAGCTAATGAACGTTATCACCACTTTAATCTGCCTCAACGCCATGGTGCTTGCAGCGAGAGTCAAACTAAGCTGCCTGTCAGCTTTGCCTTGGCCTTTTGCCAGAGGTTTGGGTGAGATAGCAGAGTCTTTTTCCCATCCA